TTCCCCAATAAGCTCTTTCCCTTAAACAAAGTAATAATTGTAGCTTGGCTTTGTTCTCTTGCACTTGATATATAGCAAATTTTACAGAAGTTTTGAAGATGAAGGCAATAAAATACATTCTTGCCTCTAACAATTGTCCATGATATGGGAAGCGAGATACTCAGCAGACTCATAGAATGGCAGATGGCCTAAATAGCACTCTGGTCTCAGAATCAGCCCTAAAGGCATTCCGATCTGGCTGAAAAGCCCATGAGAGTATTTCAGGCATGGAAAGCCAAGACACTCCGGCAAAAAAAAAAAAAAAAAAAAAAAAACAACAACAACAACAAAAACCTAAATGAGGGATCTCTGTGAGTGAGATCTCAGTGGAAAGAACAGGTCTTCAAAGAAGGAGGTACCTTTCTCTGAAGGGAGGAGAGAACCTCCACTTTGACTATGACCTTGTCTAAACAAGATAAGAGTCGGAGAACTCAAAAGGCTTCCATAGCCTTGGAAACTCGTGACTGGAGCATAGGGAGATTACTGATGCCATAAACAGGAGTGTCGATTTGTAAAGTCAACAACAGGAGTCACTGTGCACTTACTCCTCATGTAGGATCTCTGTCCTTAATGTGCTGTACACTGAGATTTGATGCTATAATGAGTATTCAAACAGTATATTTCACTTTGTGTTTCTATGGGGGTACAAACTGTTGAAATCTTTACTTAATGTATACTAAACTGAACTTCTGTAAAAAAAAAAAAAAAGAAGAAATTATCAATCCCCAACTTGACTCTCACTGGGATTAAACATGACAATAGGTCTGATCTGATTTCATCATCATTTAAAAAATCATCTATTATTTTTCACTTTATGTTTCTGTGTGGGAGCAAACTGTTGAAATCTTTACTTAATGTATGCTAAACTGATCTTCTGTATAAAAGAGAATCGAAAATGAATCTTGATGTGAATGGAAGGGGAGAGGGAGTGGGAAAGGGGAGGGTTGCGGGTGGGAGGGACGTTATGGGGGGGAAGCCATTGTAATCCATAAGCCATACTTTGGAAATTTATATTCATTAAATAAAAGTTAAAAAAAAACACAATTGTCCATGATAAGTTGCTAATGCCTTTTTGAATACACAAAATATATTTAAGATATTCATAATTATTTTAATTATAAGATTATAAAAACAAAAGAAGTTTTTATACATTTTTTTGACAGGCAGAGTGGACAGTGAGAGAGAGAAACAGAGAGAAAGGTCTTCCCTTGCCACTGGTTCACCCTCCAATGGCCGCCACGGCTGGTGCGCTGTGGCCGGCGCATTGCGCTGATCCGAAGGCAGAAGCCAAGTGCTTCTCCTGGTCTCCCATTGGGTGCAGGGCCCAAGCACTTGGGCCATCCTCCACTGCACTCCCTGGCCACAGCAGAGAGCTGGCCTGGAAGAGGGGCAACCGGGACAGAATCCGGCACCCCGACCCGGACTAAAACCCAGTGTGCCGGCGCCGCAAGGCAGAGGATTAGCCTAGTGAGTCACTGTGCCGGCTTATACATCTTTATTGCTGCTAACATGGGAATGCCTAGTAATCTGGGTTGAGAAAAGTCATAAAATAATTTATAAATGACAAAATGTAGACCTTTGGAAAAAATTCCAATATCACTAAAAATGACACAAAATCTTTTCAGTTATTCAAATAGCAATGTCTTTATACATAATTTGCATTTGAAAAGATGTGAAAAAATACCTTCAACAGTTAAGATCACCTCAGCTGGTCATCAGGTGCGGGGACATGTGTCCTGGGAAGCCTCCTTTGGCCTCTGCAACTGTAGTCTCTGCGCTTTCTTCCGCTATGTCTCCTTAATCATTTGCATTAATGTGGCTTCCCTCCACTCAGCTTCAGGTAATGAAAGACACCAGCCAGAAATCACTGAGCAGGGGTCGTGGGGCTGTGTTTCTCAAAGACCACAGCTCATAGTAGTAGGTGGGCTTTTCTGCTGTTGCAAGCTTTGGTGGTTTCAGTGAACAGCTCTTTCCCTTTCCCCTCTCAGATGCAGAGATGGGAGTGGCCTCGCACTGCAGTTAGCCTTGGAGAGCTTCTACATCTGTTACTGGTTTCCCTTACCTTGGCCACTTCTCAATAACTATCCATATATTAAATCCCCTCTATGGGGTCAGTGTTGCAGCACAGCGGGTTCAGCCACCACTTGCAACACGGGCATCCCATATTGCAGAGCTGGTTTAAGTCCCAGCTGAACTGCTTTCAATCCAACTCTTTGCTAATGCACCTGGGAAAGCAGCAGAAGATGGCTCAAGTACTTCAGCCCATGTCACTCATGTGGAAGACCCAGATGGAGTTCCTGGCTCCTGACTTTAGCTGGGCTGAGCCCTGGCCATCGTGGTTGTTTGGGCAGTGAACCAGTGGATGCAAGATCACTCTGTCTCTTCCCCTTTCTGTTATTCTTTCAAATAAAATACATCTGAAAAGATCCTCTCCAAGTATTTCTGTTGAGTATTCCATCCATCTTCTGCCAGGAAGTGAAATCTATGGTCCATCTCCAAGAACACCGAGGACCTTAACCAGGTGAGGACACTCCTCACCACAAGCAACTCCTCCCCTTGCCTGTTTTTAGCCAATATCTGTTGGTTTTGCGTCTCCAGTATCTATTCACTTTATTCCTCACACAACACCTCAATTGTCCTGTAGAGATCCCTCCTCACTCATCTCTCATGACTTGAATGAGGCTGACCCCAGCCGCAAATAGGACTGAACAACTGATCCCAGTCGGTCCAATTAAACTTAATCTCAGACCTCTTCTGGAACATTTGAATCAAAAAGGCCTCTATTCACAGAGACAACCAGGTTCAAGGAAAAACACGTGTCTGGGACCATTAGATAAAGTAGAGAGGGCTTGCCTGGAAGTGAACTGACAAAATGGACAGGGCAATAAAGGGATGAAGAGGCGGGCTCATTATAATCCCACCAAGCCTGAAGCTTATCCTTGAACACTGCAGTAACAAGGAACCCTACAAGCATTTTTTGCTCCAGCTGTGTTGAGTGGTCTGTCATTTGCAACTGAAATGTCTCAAATAGGGCTTGGAGAGAATATAAGGGGAGATACTGCTACTTCTAAAGATTATATCAATCAACCAGACTTATGGTGTTTTTTTCACCGAGATGCCTAACACATAAGAGAATTCATGAAAGGGGCCTATCGTTTGATTCTTTTTTTTTTTTTTTTTAAAGATTTTATTTATTTGAGAGGTAGAGTTACAGACAGTGAAAGGGAGAGACAGAAAGGTCTTTCTTCTGTTGGTTCACTCCCCAGATGCTGCAACGGCCAGAGCTGGGCCGATCCGAAGCCAGGAGCCAGAAGCTTCTTCAGGGTCTCCCACGTGGGTGCAGGGGCCCAAGCACTTGGGTCATCTTCTGTTGCTTTCCCAGGCCATAGCAGAGAGCTGGATTGGAAGAGGGGCAGCTGGGATGAGAAATGGCGCCCAGAGGGGATACCGGTGCCACAGGCAGAGGATTAATCTACTGTGCCATGGTGCCGGCCCCTATGATTTGATTCTTATGACATTCTAGCTCCCACCACCTGCAGTGTCCCTTTAGTGTGTGTGTGTGTGTGTGTGTGTGTGTGTGTGTGTTTGACAGGCAGAGTGGACAGTGAGAGAGAGAGAGACAGAGAGAAAGGTCTTCCTTGACCGTTGGTTCACACTCCAGTGGCCGCTGTGGCCGGCGTGCTGCACTGATCCGATGGCAGGAGCCAGGTACTTATCCTGGTCTCCCATGGGGTGCAGGGCCCAAGCACTTGGGCCATCCTCCACTGCACTCCCTGGCCATAGCAGAGAGCTGGCCTGGAAGAGGGGCAACCGGGACAGAATCCGGTGCCCCAACCGGGACTAGAACCTGGTGTGCCGGCGCTGCAGGCGGAGGATTAGCCTAGTGGGCTGCGGCGCCGGCCCCTTTAGTGTTTTAAAATCTGCGAAAAATGGGGCAGTACTAAACCAAACCCATTTTGTGTTGAACTTTGTGGCTGAGACTCTTGTGTGAACTGGTGCAAACAAAGAACAATGGTGGAAAACAGCTGAATGCCATGTTAGTATTATTTTCAAGTGCTGTTACATTGGGCCTACCTAGATGACAGGGCTCCTTGGCAGGAAAGCTGTTATGGCAATGATCGTTATTCCTACTTAGTACCAGATAGAATGGGAGTCACTGGGAGGTCAAACTGTCTCAAAAGCCCAATGTTTCTGCACACTCAAGGTCAGGTTCAAGGGAAAGCAATCAGGTGCCAGGACAATGGCAAAGGCTCAATCATTTAAAATGAAGAGAAGGGAAAAGTCCCCCAAGAAATGGCCACAAAATGAGTTTTATGATCTTAACCATATCATGGAACATTGAGAAAGAAATCAGATTGACAGTGTTAATGGGACATGGTCTTTTCCACAGCTGCTGTCCTTCCTGAGACAGAAGCTAAATCTTATGTATTTTTACTCCCCCTTGACTAGTGCTGAACCTCAGAAAAGTGGGTGCTCATTAATGATGACATTTAGAACCTGCTGGGTTAAGAGTACAAAAAGTTTTAGGATTATAGGCAAAGAGAGTCAGCACATGGTAGTTGTTCAAGGAACTCCTGCTGTTAACATCATTGTTGTTATTCTTAAATGTAGAACTCAATCATCATTAAAATATCTGGGTTATTAATGAACAGTCTAATGAAAACCCACACCTTTTAGCAACAAGTTCAACTCTGCCTGTTGTGAGTTTATTTTCCCTGCCCTTCACACACAGACATGAAACTCAAAGTATTCATCAATTCACTCATTCATCCCCTCAACACTGAGAAACCACCTGCAAATTGCCACATACAATTGTATGCAGGGGACATCAAAGCTTATTAAGAAACAGTCTCACAAACGTAATATAGAGACACACAGACCGTTGAGATGCATGAGAGCACTTCAGTGCTGGTAGAAGCTGAGAGGAAGATGACGATTATAGAGAATGATGTTTTCCTTACCTTTTCTGCAAGCCAGCCAAGATGTCTGATCTCTCGGCTCCCAGCAATGCCCGCTTTCCCCAGCTGCTCTCTGACCTCTGCCATCACTCGGCTCTGCAGGTCACTAACGTTGGAATGGATAGCACTGAACCAAGCCTGGGCAGTGGCTGTGTCCTTGCTCCTTAGGATCACTGTGTGCTTAGTATCTGGAGAGTGGATTTCAAGTTGCCTAAAAAAATGAAGACAGAAGACTTAGAAGTTTCTCTCATAAGTATTACAGGCATGGAAAGCCAAAACACTCTGGCAGAAAAAATAAAACAAAACAAAACCAAAAAAACCCTACATGAAAGATCTCCGTGAGTGAGATCCCAGTGAAAAGAACAGGTCATCAAAGAAGGAGGTACCTTTCTCTGAAGGGAGGAGGAGAGAACTTCCACTTTGACTACGACCTTGTCTACATATGATCAGAGTTGGTGAAATCAAAAGGCTTCCATAGCCTTGACGACTCATGACAAGAGCCTAGGGAGATTACTGATGCCATAAACAAGAGTGTCAATTTGTTAAGTCAACAACAGGAGTCACTGTGCACTTACTCCTCATGTAGGATCTCTGTCCTTAATGTGCTGTACATTGTGATTTAATGCTATAACTAGTATTCAAACAGTATTTTTCACTTTGTGTTTCTATGTGGGTGCAAACTGTTGAAATCTTTACTTAATGTATGCTAAACTGATCTTCTGTATATAAAGAGAATCGAAAATGAATCTTGATGTGAATGGAAGGGGAGATTGAGTGGGAGAGGAGAGGGTTGTGGGTGG